AGCTGAGTGTTTACTGTTTAATCCTGAGATTTGGAGGTTACTTGTTACGCAGTTACTTCCATTAGTAGTTGACTAATAGAAGGGTGATTGAGATTATGCAATATCACCAGGAAATGTTCCAAATAAATGATTAAATGGTCAAAGAGCAGATAACAAAACAACTTGTCCAGTAAGATCACATTTTCATTTTAAATAGATGGGGGAAGTAATCTCCCTGAAAACAACATAGACCAAAATGCTAATCAATGGTTATCACTACTGGTGGTAATTTTTGTGTTTTGAGTGTTTTCCTATATTCTGAATGAGTCGAATGGCTATGCTTGAGTCCGCAGCTGAGTGGGGGGAAGTGCTGGGGAGATGCCTGGATGGATACATTGTTCCGCCACAGGCCTGTCCCGGCTGTTTCAGAAGACAGTGAATTCATCTCCTGAGAAAGATGATTCATTATTGCAGGTCTGCTATAGGAGGTAGAGCAAAATCGCATTCAAACCCAAGCCTGCCTGCCCCTTCAGGAAGGGGTTGGAGACCACAGAGCTAGGGTAAATGGGGTGACAGAACATGGCAGCCGCAGAGAAAAGTGCGGTGGGCAAAGTCCCAGGGGCTCCATCCAGACTCTTCTGTCCAGGTGTGAAAGAACTCTGGGAGCAGGCACAGAGGTGCAGAGGCAGGCGGGATTTACTTAGAGGGGCAGTGCACACTCGGAGGTGAGTGCAGGCAACCTCTCTCCAGAGGAAGGAAGAGCTGCCGCCCCCACCAAGGCTGCCCTAATTAAACATTCAAATGAAGTGGAGTTTGGGCAGAGTTTAAGCACCGCAGGCTTCTGAGTCCCTTTTTTTTTTTTTTTGGGTGGGGGGGTGGAGGCCTTGAAAGTGTCATGGCTTCTCCGCATGGGGCGGCAGCACACACGTGATCATCACAGTGACTCGTGCATGATGGGAAGTGGGACTCAGGTGCCTGAAGGGGCATGGCTGTGCCGAGCCTGCTTGGGTGGGTGGGATTTGGTTGGTGCAGGGCTGCAGCACAAAGGTTCTGGCAGTCTCGGCTCCTCTCTACTTACTAGCTACTGCCTGCTGTCATCAAAAGGGGTAGGAAAGTGCACCTCAACACAGCACCTCGCGAGCTCAAAGCTGGCTGTGGCGCTGTCACTGTGTGTCCTTTAGCACTGTAATGAACCAGGAGGCACCTCAGTTCTCTGCACAGGCTCCAGTCACAAATTTGGCTGTGGCCAGTTCTGCCGGTGTCATCAGGAACCTTGTAAAGACAGCTCAGCAGATTTTTAGCAGACAACTATTATGGGCTGGCACATTACTATGCAGCAAGCTAGCAAATGACTATCGTGGGCTGTTAGGATGTTAGCAGTAGGGGAAGCCACTGTTTAAGCAGGAGGAGGGGAGCTCAGGTGGCCGCCTGGGAGGCAGCCCTTCCACATGCTGTGCTCACATCCCCAGGTGTGATGCTGGTCTCCACAAGGGGGACGATGGCCCACAGACCGCCTGTGATCGTCTGTGCTGGAACACGATTTGAAAGAGCTTTCAAAGTGGCACGACTTGTTAAGAATCAATGGGGTCCCCTGAATATTCCCTGTGGGGCTTGGAGCACTGACTTGAAATGCATTTTGGAAACACACCAGGTTTAGTGCTGAAATGAGAGGTTAACATTCAATTTAAGAACAAAACAGGAGAGGGCCTGGGAACAACCATATCTGCTCTGCTTATAGCAACGAGTTCATGTCAGGCCACACTGTCCCTCCCACTGCCGTCCCTTCTCAGGTGATGAGCCCTGGATGTGCGGCCAGGGGCCTCCTGCCGGTGCAGCCCAGCTGTGCAGGTCCTGCAGCCTTCAGGCCACCTCCCTCTGCATCTGCTGTCCACGGGGACACCACAAGCCTCCTGGCCTTGGTAGGACACACTGTTGCTCTTTTGGTTTTTCTGTTTTTTTTTTTTTTTTTTCAGTCAACTTTACTGAGGCATCATCAAAAGACAACAAAATCCGCCATTTACAACGTGTACCTTGTCGTGAGCTTGAACAAATGCGTACGCTCTTGCTGCCACCACCAAGACAGGGCACTTTTCCACCCCTTGGAAGGTTCTCACAGGATCCTTGCAGCTCATCCTAACCCCCATTCCTGCTCAGGCAACCACCGCTGTGCTTCCCAGCTATAGGGGAGTTTGCCTTTTCTAGAAAGTTACGTGAATGAAGTCATATAGTATGCACCCCCACGTGTCTGGCTTCCTTTGTTCAGCGTAATGAATTTGAGATCCATCCGACTATTTCACATATCAATCGTTCACTCTTTTGTACCGCTTAATGGTATTCCATTGTATGAACACGCTACAGGCTCCTCATCCGCTCCTCTCCCGATAGTGACATGGGTGGTGTTCAGTTTGGGGCTGTTATGCATAAATCTTTTTGTTGTTGTTGTTGCTATTCAACTGTGTTGATAGGTATCATGGGATCCCCTTACTACTAAATGAGCAATTTTCCATGAAGTTTGCTTTCACACTGAGAGAAAAACCTCTGTGATAAAAAAAATGATAGTTTGCTCATTCATTCAACCAATTGCTTATCCAATTAGCCGTTCATCAAATAAATATTTACCTAACATCTACTACTACCATTAGTAATAACTGGGTAATATTATTTGTAGGGTGCTTAATAAAAGGTCACACAGTTCCTAGGAATTGTATTCATTTCTCGCAACAGTTCTGTAAGCTTACTTTAAAATACCTGCTTTAGACGCTTCTTAAATGATGCAGCACTATGCAAATAAGATCATATTTTTAAAATAAAACAGTTCTGATACAACTTACGTTTTCATGTACTGATTGACCCTCATGGCCTTTTACTCCAGGTGCTGTGAATTGATGAGGTTTTATTGCCTCTCGTCCTTAATCAGGACTAAATGGCCTGTGAAGTTGCTCAGGCTTTTATGTTTATTGGGGCAGAGATGGCACCCAGCAGGCAGTGGGAGGGAGACACTACCTTCCCGGCACCCCAGTGCCTGTACTCACTCCAGTATTCCCTCCAGGCACACACAGAACTCTGCCGCTTCCAGATACCCCACTGAGCCTGAGCACTTTATGAGTCAAATAAATAAATAAAGCCCTGGAATGCCACAGGCAGTTCTGTCCTTATTTGGCATAAGGAAATGTAGTTAACTTTCTCTGGGTTTGTATTATGAATGTCAACACTCACCAGGAACTTTGGAAAAAGAAAAGAGGGGGGTGGGGTAGGGAGAAGTGTGGGTGGGTAAGACTGTCCTGATTCTTGAATTCAAGAGTTTGATTAGTGAGAGAACCTAGAATAATCTAGAAGAACAGATAGAAAATATGAATAGGGGCAGAAAGTTAGCAATCTCTGAGCTTCTACCATGTGCTAAAGAATATGCTTTCAGACCTGGCCAGGCCTCAGAATCACCTATAGGGCTGGTTAAAACCTAAACTGTGGGACCAGCACTGTGGTACAGCAGGTTAAGCCACAGCCTGCAGCACCGGCATCCCATATGGGCATCGGTTCGAGCCCTGGCTGCTCCACTTCTGATCCATCTCCCTGTTAATGCCTCTGGGAAAGCAGCAAAAGATGGCCCAAGTCCCTGGGCCCCTGCATCCATGAGGGAGACCCAGAAGAAGCTCCAAGCTCCTGGCTTAGGCCTGGCCTGGCCCACCCCTGGCTGTGGTGGCCAATTGGGGAGTGAACCAGTGGATGGAAGATCAATCAATCTCTCGCTATCTCTGTAACTTTGCCTTTCAATACAAATCTTAATCAAACACCTGTGGGGAGCAACTCGGACTAGACTGTTACTGGAATTAAGACTTATTCTATGCATCTGCTCTCCCACAATATGGCGCTGGGAGAGGAGAAAGCAGCTTCTACGCAGCTGCCTCTTGCCAACTTGAGTGATGACCTCCAGGAGCTGATCCTGCTCCTGATTGGAGGAGAGCAGCGTACTCGGCATGTGGGTAGCAGAGTTGGGATTGATGGAAGAGGACTATAAAGGAGGAGAGAGACAACATGCACCAGGAACACCTGAGGAACATCTGTGCAGCCCCCGAGAGAGCCGGCCAGCGGTGTGCTGCTCCCCCGCGGAAGTGGGGAAAGTGGCAGGGGGAACCGCCCTTCCACGGAGGTGGAAGGGTCGGTAGCCAACCCGGGAAGAACCAGCAGCTGTGGGGAGCAACTCGGACTAGACTAAGTTACTGGAATTAAGACTTATTCTATGCATCTGCTCTCCCACAATATGGCGCTGAGAAGGGAGAAACAGCTTCTACCAGCTGCCTCCAGTTCAACCAATAAACTGTAGGACCTGCTCCTGACTGGAGGAGAGCAGCATACTCGGCGTGTGGGTAGCAGAGTTGGGATTGGCGGAAGAGGACTATAAAGGAGGAGAGAGACAACATGCACCAGGAACATCTATCTGAAGGAACACCTGAGCAGCCCCCGAGAGAGCCGGCCAGCGGTGTGCCACTCCCCCGCGGAAGTGGGGAAAGTGGCAGGGGGAACCGCCCTTCCACGGAGGTGGAAGGGACGGTAGCCAACCGGGAAGAACCAGCAGCAAACCCGGGGAGGGCCGAGCAGACAAAAGAACAGCGCAGGGTCCTGTGTCGTTCCTCCACGAAGAGGGGGAGCGACATAATGGTGCCGTGACTCGGATATGAAGCCTAGGCAGTGTTTAGTGTCGTTCCTCCATGAAGAGGGGGAGCGACAAGCAGCAAACCCGGGGAGGGCCGAGCAGACAAAAGAACAGCGCAGGGTCCTATGTCGTTCCTCTGTGAAGAGGGGGAGCGACAAACACTCCAAGAGCATTTTGAAGCAGACCTCACATTCCCAGTTTTCCGTATGAGGAAAGTAGAGACCAGAGAATTTTCAGAACTTGCCCTAGGCTCACAGCCAGTGAGTGACAAAGCCAAACATTGAGTTCAGCCTGCCTTGCTCCAAAAGCTAGTTTTCCCTCTGTTTCAGACTGGCCCCAGACACCTCCTAGAAAGTAGACAGACTATTACCTGAGTCAATCAAGGTTGTAAAAATCCCAGCACTTGGGGGTGAACAGGCGTGGTGACATCACTGGGGCTGCGTGCCAATGGAATGGTAGGAAGAGTAACGAATAGTCTGGAAAGAATCCAGAATTAGAGATCAACAACCTGATCAAAACTCTTTTTTTAAAGATTTCGTTTTTATTTCTTTGAGAGGTAGAGTTACAGTGAGAGGGAGAGACAGAGAGAGAGGTCTTCCATCTGCTGGTTCACTCCCCAGATGGCTGCAAAGCCTAAGCTGGGCCTATCTGAAGCCAGGAGCCAGAAGCTTCATCCGAGTCTTCCACGTGGGTAGAGGGGCCCAAGCACTTCCACCGCTTTCCCAGGACATAAGCAGAGTGTAGGATCAGAAGAGGAGCAGCCGGGACTCAAATCGGTGCCTGTATGGGATGTCGGCACCACAGGCCAAGCCTTAGCGTACTAGACCACAGTGCAGGACCCCCCAGATTTTTTATTCTCTGAAGCTAACCCAAAATGCACAAGAACCTCAAGTACCCATCTCCTCTGCCTCTTTTCATAGCGACCAAGACGAGCTACACAGCAATTTCCATCTGACTCTCTCCCTTCACCTGCCCTGAGTCTCCTGCCACTTTCATTCACTATAACAAATAATTATATAAGGATGTATAAAAGCAAAGACTTCAATTTTTTTTCATGTGAACAAGGAATTATATCTCCCCATTGAATGTTTATCATCTAAAAGACGTGAATTTCAGACCAGCACTGTGGCACAGCAGGTTAAGCTGCTGCCTGTGACACCAGTATCTCATATGAGCACCTCTTCTAGTCCTGCCTGCTCCACTTCCAATCCAGCACCCTGCTATGCAGCTGGGAAAGCAGCAGAAGATGGCTCACGTCGTTGGAAGGAAGGAAGGAAGGAAGGAAGAAAGGAAGGAAGGAAGGGAGGGAGGGAGGGAGGGAGGAAGGAAGGAAGGAAGGAAGGGAGGAGGAAGGAAGGAAGGAAGGAAGAAAGGAAGGAAGGAAGGAAGGAAGAAGAAAGGGAGGGGAAAGAAAATAAATGCTAGCTTTTTTTTTTTTTTTTTTTTTTTTTTTACAGGCAGAGTGGACAGGCAGAGAGAGAGAGAGAAGGGTCTTCCTTTTGCCGTTGGTTCACCCTCCAATGGCCGCCGCAGCCGGTGCGCTGCGGCAGGCGCACTGCGCTGATCCGAAGGCAGGAGCCAGGTACTTATCCTGGTCTCCCATGGGGTGCAGGGCCCAAGCACTTGGGCCATCCTCCACTGCCTTCCCTGGCCACAGCAGAGAGCTGGCCTGGAAGAGGGGCAACCGGGACAGAATCCGGCGCCCCAACCGGGACTAGAACCCGGTGTGCCGGCGCTGCAAGGCGGAGGATTAGCCTAGTGAGCCGTGGCGCCGGCCCAATGCTAGCTCTTATTTAAGAAAAAAAGATTTGAATCTTGAATTCAGGTATGAGCGACTTTATGCCACTAAATTTGACAACTTAGCTGAAACGGAAAAATTTCTTCTAAGACACAAACTATGAAATGTTACTCGAGAAGAAATAAGATTCTGAATATCCCCATATATTAAAGAAATTGAATTTATAGTTTAAAACTTTTCCACAAAGAAAAACCTAGATCCCGATGACTTCACATGTGAAGTCTACCAGATGTATAAGGAAGAAATTATACACAAATTCTCCTACCGAAGAGAAGGGATTACTTCCCAGCTAATTCCATGAGGCTCACGTTAAACTGAAATTAAAGACTCTAGTTCAAACTGAGACTAAGGTCACAATTTTGGTAACGCTAGACGAGATGTAATTTTGAGTCTCCTAGGAGCTCCTGGTAAGCAAAATTCACTTTTTGCTGCTGCTTGCAGATGAGGAAATAGACCGGGAAGCTCCACCTGCACTCCCTTCCCTCCCTGGTGGGGAGAGACCGCAGGACGCTCAGAGTCGGCTTTGCCGATTTCACAACCGGTCAGAGCCGCTGGACTCTCACGGAAGGCCCGGAAGAAGGCTCCACATACAGCAATTCATCGCGTGGGCCGTTTTCAAAATTGCTGTTAGAGAGAACTCCAAACATGTCTGAAAGGAAATAGACATAGCAAAGGCCCAGATCCTGCCCCAGCCCAGTCAGCGATCAGCAACAAGGCCTGTCCATCCACGCTGCCACCTGTGTCCCCGTCACATACGAGTCTGAGCAAACCCACCGGCTGCATCATTTCACCCACTGACACCTCAGTGTGCATCTGTAAAACACTGCACCTCCACACTGTTGACATACGGATCCAACCCTTCTGTTTCACGCGAGACATCCCTGGCTGCTACCCACCAGACGTCAGTAACACCTTTTCCCCCAGTTTTGACAATGAAAAACATCTCCTGACACTGCCAAATGCCCCCAAAACTGGGAGGTGGGCACTGTGATGCAGTGGGGTGAACTGCCGCTTGGACCGCCCACATCCCACATGGGAACGTCAATTAGACTCCCCGCCACTTTGCTTCTGATCCAGCTCCCCGCTAATTCAACCGGGAAGGCAGCAGCAGATGACCCCTGCAGGCTTGAGCCCCTGCACCCAGGTGGGAGACCGGGAAGAAGCTCCTGCTTGGCTTGGCCCAGCCCTGGCCACTGCAGCCGTCTGGGGAATGTTCCAGAGGACGGATTTCCCTCTCTCTGTGTCTCTCCCTCTCTCCCTCTGTAACTCTGCCTTTCAAATAAATAAAATAAATGTTTTAAAGAAATAAAATAAACTATAACTATTATCATACCTAAAATATAATTATTTAGTAATAAAATTGCATATCAAGTCAATATTCAAGTTTAGAATTGTCTCATAAATATTATAAGTGTGTTTTTCTCAACAGCTTTTTTTTTTTTTTTTTTTGACAGGCAGAGTGGACAGTGAGAGAGAGAGACAGAGAGAAAGGTCTTCCTTTGCCGTTGGTTCACCCTCCAATGGCCGCCGCGGCCGGCGCGCTGCGGCCAGTGCACCACGCTGATCTGAAGGCAGGAGCCAGGTACTTCTCCTGGTCTCCCATGGGGTGCAGGGCCCAAGCACTTGGGCCATCCTCCACTGCACTCCCTGGCCACAGCAGAGAGCCGGCCTGGAAGAGGGGCAACCAGAACAGAATCCGGCGCCCCGACCGGGACTAGAACCCAGTGTGCCAGCGCCGCAAGGCGGAGGATTAGCCTAGTGAGCCGCGGCGCCGGCCCTCAATAGCTTTTTAAAAAAATAAGTATCCAAATTCGTTCCACACGCTGTGACTGGTCAATATGTCTTTTAGGTATCTTTCAATCTGCAGGTTTCCCCTCCATTTTTTTTTTCTGTTTTGTTGTTGTTTATTAAAACAGTCATCTGCTCTGTGGAGTTTCTCAGAGTCCGTATTTTGCTGACTTATCTCCCGGTGGAGTTTAACACTCTCTCTCCGTCCATTGGTGTTTGGAGCTGAAAGCTTGATGTAATCCAAAGTCAAAGTTTTCGCCAGATCACAACAGGTAGGCATTATGTTCTTCTAATTCCATCTTTCATTGTCTTCCTTTATTAGCCAAACTCTTCTTTAAAAAAAAAAAGATTTGGGGCTGGCTCTGTTGTATAATGAACGGGTTAACCTGGCCCCTGCAAGCACCAGCATCCAATATGGGCACTGGGTGGAGTTCTGGCTGCTCCACTTCCGTCCAGCTCCCTGCTATGGCCTTGGAAAGCAGTGGAAGATGGCCCGAGAGCTTGGGCCCCTGCCCCCATGTGGGAGACCCAGGAGAAGCTCCTGGCTCCCGGCTTTGGCCTGGCCCAGTCTCAGCTATTGGTAGCCATTGGAGGAGTGAACCAGCATATGGAAGACTTCTCTCTCCCCACCCCTCACCACCACCTTTCTGTAACTCTGCCTTTAAAAAAAAAAGATACATTTATTTATTTGAAAGGCAATGCAACAGAGAGGAGGAGCGAAAAACACAGAGAGATCTTCCCTCCTCTGGTTCACTCCCCAAACGGCCACAAAAGCTGGGACGGGAAGAAGCCAAAGTCAGGAGCCAGCAGCTTCTCCCATATCTCCCACGTGGGTGTCAGGGGACCCAAGTACTTGGACCATAACCCACTGCTTTCCCAGGCTCATTAGCAAGGCGCTGGATTGGAAGCACAACAGCTGGGATTCAAGCAAGATTCAGAAACGGGATGCCAGCATTCTGAGAGACAGCTTAACCTTCGGTGCCACAGTGCTTGCCAGCTCCCAGACTTTTTTTCTTTTCTTTTTTTTTTTTTTTTTAATAATTCCCAGCATTAACAAGGTACAAAAAAGGAAACGGGCAATTTCATATGTTGATGAGATTATAAATTGACACAACTTTTCTGCAAGATAATTTGACAATATATAAGAAAAACTTGGGGCCGGCGCTGTGGCACACCAGGTGAACACCCTGGCCTGAAGTGCCGGCATCCCACATGGATGCCGGTTTGAGTCCCGGCTGCTCCACTTCCGATCCAGCTCTCTGCTATGGCCTGGGAAAGCAGCAGAAGATGGGCCAAGTCCTTGGGCCCCTGCACCTGCATGGGAGGCCCGGAGGAAGCTCATGGCTCCTGGCTTCGGATCGGCGCAGTTCCGGCTGTTGTGGCCAATTGGGGAGTGAACCATCAGATGGAAGACCTCTCTCTCTCTCTCTCTGCCTCTCCTCTCTCTGTGTAACTCTGACTTTCGAATAAATAAATAAATAAATAAATCTTTAAAAAAAAAAAGTGTGCACCTCTTACAAGCAGATGCTTGCTTTGAAAAAAAATAATAAGATCAGTGTCTGCAAATAATTGATAGAATTAAAAAGGAGAGAATGATCCTACATGGGAAGCAGGATACAAAGCAGACTCATAGAATGGCAAATGCCCTAAACAGCACTCCAGCCTCAGAATCAGCCCTTGGGCCATTCAGATCTGGCTAAAAAGCCCATGAGAGTTTCGCAGGCATGGAAAGCCAAGACATTGTGGCCAAAAAAAAAAGACCTTAATCAAAGATCTCTGTGAGTGAGATCCTAGTGGAAAGAACAGGCCATCAAAGAAGGAGGTACCTTTCTCTGAAGGGGGGAGACAACTTCCACTTTGAATATGACCTTGTCTAAATAAGATCGGAGTTGGTGAACTCAAGAGGCTTCCATAGCCTTGGCAGCTCATGACAAGAGCCTCGGGTGATTACTGACGTTATAAATAAGTGTGTCAATTGTTAAATCAACAACGGGAGTCACTGTGCACCTGCTCCCCACGTAGGACCTCTGCCCTTAATGTGTTGTACTATGGGAATTAATGGTATAACTAGTACTCAAATAGTACTTTATACTTTGCGTGTCTGTGTGGGTGCAGTCTGTTGAAATCTTTACTTAGTATATACTAAGTTGATCTTTTGTACATAAAGATAATTGAAAATGAATCATGATGAAGAATGGGATGGGAGAGGGAGTGGGAGATGGGATGGTTGTGGGTGGGAGGGGGGTTATGGAGGGAAAAGCCACTATAATTGAAAAGTTGTACTTTGTAAATTTATATTTATTAAATAAAAGTTGAAAAGAAAAAAAAACTTTAAAATTTTGCTCTTTGACCTAGAATTCCACTGCCAGACAGTTACTCAGGAGCCTGCAGAGATTCAGGGAAGAGTGTTCACTGCAGGCTGTGTGATAAGAAGCTGGAATGGGAAGAGGAGAGGGAGGAGGAAGAAAGGTGGGAGTGTGGGTGGGCAGAATCACTATGTTCTGAAGTCGTATTTATGAAATGCAGGAAGTTTGTGTACCTTAAATAAAAGGTTCTGGGAGGGAAAAAAAGGCACTGGAAACAATCTCTGGGTATGACTCAGGAACCAGCAAAACACTGTGTGCTCCCTCGTGTGTAATCTCTCAGTGTGCCACAACCCGAGCGTGTGAAGACCCGGAAGTAGCAGGAAACTCATCTTCTCTTTTAAAAAGGGAATTCATGCATAAATACATGCATGGGAGAAAAAGTCATCCCAGGTACCCAAATAGTCACAAGATCATCATCTGCTAGTAAAATCAAGAAGTTGTATTTCTTCTGTTTGCTTATCACAATGGGCTAAGCTAGCATCCCACACACGCACCTGCGACCCTGGCATCCCACATGCGCACTGGTTCGAGTCCTGGCAGCTCTGCTTCCCATCCAACTCCCTGCCAAAGCATTTGGGAAGGCGGCAGATGACTGCCCCTGCCACCCATGTGGCAGACCTGGGTGGAGCGCCTGGCTCCTGGCTTCAGCCTGGCCCACTGCCAGTCACTGTGGGCACTGGGGAGTGAACCAGAGGGTGAAGAACCTCTCTCCTTCTAACTCTGCCTTTCAAATAAATATTCTTTAAAAAAGTTAAAAAATAATTTCCATAAGGAACCCCATATTTTTAAGGGAAAAAATTTAATACCAAGCACTTTTAATTGGAATTATGAGGTAAAATATACCTTGGGCCATACTTATACTAAAAAGAGTACTCAATGTTTACCTTAGGCTTGTAGTTAACTGGGTGTCCTGTGTTTTTATTTGCTAGATCTGGCCCTGCCCACTTATGATGCAGAGTAACAAGGAAAGATCAGGATGCTAGACACCTGTGAAAACAGAAGAAAACTGATTATTTCTTTTCTTTTTTTTTTTTTAGATTTATTTTATTTATTTGAAAGACGGAGCTACAGAGAGAGGCAGAGACAGAGGGAGAGGTCTTCTATCTGCTGGTTTACGTCCCAGGTGGCTGCAATGGCCGGAGCTGAGCTGATCCAAAGTCAGGAGCCAGGACCTTCTTCCAGGTCTCCCACATGGGTGCAGGGCCCCAAGGACTTGGGCCACCTTCTGCTGCTTTCCCAGGCGATAGCAGAGAGACTGGATGGGGAGAGGAGCAGCTGGGACTAGAACCGGCACCCATATGGGATGCTGGTGCTTCAGGCCAGGGCTTTAACACACTGTGTCACAGCGCCGGGCCCAATGAACTGATTATTTTTAATCGTTTATACCAGAAAAGCAAGATGTTGGTGGAATAAGAGGGGAGATCACATAGCATTGTCTCAAATATGCAGTCTGTCACCACCGCTGTCATCCCATCCCCCTTGCTCCACCCCCGCCCCCACAGTCTGGGTGTCACTTGTTCCCCTGAGCCTCACAGTGATGCCTGCCTCACCGGACTCAGCTGAGGATGTGGGTGAATGCTAACCTACCAAACAGCCAGCATTACCCCGCTGGTGAGGTACACTCGTGAGGCAAGAACAAGACGCCCGCCGCAGGTCTCCTGCAGGACCACAGCCCTCTGAGGTCGAAACAGAACTGAACCAACCCACAGGTTAGCTTCCCTCCACCTGTTTATGTCCGATTTATAGCTGCACTGATCACTAAGCATCTTCGGAGCACTGGGCCACAAGTCGGTTGTTGTTGGAGAGCTTGGCGAGGGGCGTGCACCGCGTGGGGCGCAGGAAGCCTGTGAGGTTTGCAAGCTTGGCAGCTCCTAACTGCAGGCCTCACCTTGTCCGCACACACCGGTCTCAGTCACCGTGGAAACTGCCCTTTTCCTCATGCGGAGCACGGAACGCCCCGGCTGACACGGAATCAATCAACGCTGCCTTCTCTCCTGGTCTCTGCTACTGAGAAAAACATCACTGCCTCTTGAGCCACAGTAGGGAGGATGCGTGGCCAAATGCTAAGAATCTCGCAAGGGAAGATTAATAGACGAGGGCGGAGGTTTATGAGAAAATTGGAAAATAAGCTGAGGGAGAAAGAAAGAGGAAAGAGAAGGAAGAAGAAAGAAAACTAGAAGACTGGTTTCCTCTTCTATAGACGGAAGACTGAGACCCAGAGGTCCAAGGTCACATGACCAGTCAGTATCGAGCTATGTTTCACATCTAAGAGAAATCAGATCCCTGCAGGAGAAAAGCACCTCCCAAGAAGACTGGATTTTCCAGGTGCCCAGAGACACACAGGCATCATTCGGCTTTGTGCCTCCTTCAGAGGGTGAAGTCCATGGAAAGACATGAAGACATGCCATTCAGTGCGCATTTATTAAAATATTTACTTGTTTTGGGAAGCAGAGAAACATACAGACACGAAGACATCTCCCATCTGCTGATTCACTCCCCCAAAGCCCATAAGAGCTGAAACTAGGCCAGCTGAAGCCGGGAGGCGTCTCCCACGTGGGTGGCAGGAACCCAAGTTCCTGATTCTGAGCAGGAAGCTGGAATCAGGCGTAGCCCCAGGCCTCACACCCAGGCACTCTGATTTGGGTGTCGAGTGATGGCTTAGTTGCTAAGCCAAATGTGCAACCCCCGAGGATCCCTTCTGAAGTGAGACTGCTCAAAGCCAGCCAGGTGTGTGATGGAAAGGGGTACGCTCAGACATGGCCGGTGGAATGGAAAGCAATTTCTAAAAATGTACCAAGAATCATGAAAACCTTTGCATTTCAGTTGTCCCTGTGTGTAACGATCATTTTAGGATGCCCTGGACTCTGTGAATGAAGGACAGAGAGGGTACCTTGTTTCTGCTCCTCCTGGGGGCCCCAGGGCTGCGGTGGGAGCAATCCGGGGGCTTCACTGGATGTGAGTGAGTCCCAGACGGCTCACTCACCTGGTTGCCGGGCGCTGCTGGCTGCTGCTGGCTCCTGCTGGGAGCTCCACTGTGCTGCGATCGATCGGGAGCAGGTGTCCGTGGCCTTCCAGCAGGGTGGTCTCAAGGTAGTTGAACACCTTACCTGCCGAACAAGCATCCCAAGACAGCCAGGCAACAGATGCACTGTACTCTATCAGAGGAATCAGTCAGAAGTCCAGAATCAAGAGGAGGAACGTGTGTCCCTTTTCAAGAACGGTGGCAAGGGCGTACGGGGTGGGAGCTACAGCTGTGGCAGTCCTTGGACAATACAACGTGCAGCATTACTGGACTCCAGAAATCCAAAGTCAAACCTTCAGGGAGAGACAGAAAACAATCCAAGGCAGAGAGAAAGGCATACGCATGCAAAGGTTCACTGTGATCTTATCTGTAATAAAGAAAAACATATAAACAGGGACTGGCACTGTGGTGCAGCAGGTTAAGCATCCCATATGAGTGCCAGTTGGAGTTCCCACTACTCCATTTCCGACCCAGCGCCCTGCTAACATGCCTGGGAAACAGTAGAAGATGGGCCAAGTGCTTGAGTCCCTGCCACCCATGTGGGAGACCCTGGAAGCTGCTATTTGGGAATTTAAGTAGTGGATGGAAGATATCTCCCCCCGCCCCTCTCTCTGTCTCACCCTTCTCTCTGTCACTCAGCATTTCAAATAAATGAATGTCTTTTTTCAAATTTTTTTTTATTTATTTGCGAGGCAAAGTTATAGACAGAGAGAGGGAAAGACAGACAGAGAGAGGTCTTCCATCTGCTTGTTCACTCCCCAAATGACCACAGCAGCTGGAGCTGGGCTGATCGGAAGCCAGGAGCCAGGAGCTTCCTCTGGGTCTCCCATGTGGGTGCAGGGGCCCAAGCACTTGGGTCATCTTCCATTGCTTTCCCAGGCCATAGCAGAGAGCTGGATCAGAAGAGGAGCAGCCAGGATATGAACTGGAAAAATATATAAATAACTTAAATATCTAATACAGACATGTGGCTAATTAGATTACACTGTGTCTAGTCAATATTCTGATGCCTCTATCATACTGAGCTCCAAATATCCTCATATCATTTTCTTTTTAAAAAGATTTATGTATTTATTTGAAAATCAGAGTTACAGAGAGGTAGACCAGAGTGGGAGAGAGAGAGGTCTTCCATCCGCTGGTTCACTCCGCAGTGGCTGCAACAGCCAGAGCTGTGTTGATCTGAAGCCAGAAACCAGGAGTCTCTTCCGGGTCTCCCATGTTGGTGCAGGGGCCCAAGCACTTGGGCCATCTTCTACTGCCTTCCCAGGCTATAGCAGAGAGCTGGATCAGAAGTGAAGCAGCCAGGACTCCAACTGGCGCCCACATGGGATGCCAGCAGTGCAGGTAGCAGCTTTACCTGCAATGCCACGGCACTGGTCTCTCTCATATCTTTTTTTTTTTCTTTTTTTTGATAGGCAGATGGATAGGCAGATGGATAGTGAGAGAGAGAGACAGAGAGAAAGCTCTTCCTTTGCCGTTGGTTCACCCTCCAATGGCCACCACGGCTGGCGCACTGCAGCTGGCGCACCGCGCTAATCCGAAGGCAGGAGCCAGGAACTTCTCCTGGTCTCCCATGGGGTGCAGGGCCCAAGCACCTGGGCCATCCTCCACTGCACTCCCTGGCCACAGCAGAGAGCTGGCCTGGAAGAGGGGCAACCGGGACAGAATCTAGCGCCCCGACCAGGACTAGAACCCGGTGTGCCGGCGCTGCTGGGTGGAGGATTAGCCTAGTGAGCCGCGGCGCCGGCCTCATATCTTTTTATTAAATTAATTATTTTAACTTTATTTGAAAGGCAGAGAGATGGAGAGTGACAGAGATCTTCCACCACAAATGCCCACAATAGCCAGAGCTGTACTAGGCAGAAGCCAGGCTCCATCCGATCCAGGTTTTCCACATGAGTAGTAGAGACCCAAGTACTTCAGACATCACGTGATGTCTTCCCAGCGTGCGAATTAGCAGGAAGCTGCATCAGAAGTGGGGCCAGCCCTGAAACAAGGCACTCTGTTATGGAATGTGGGCATCCCAAGCAGCATATTTTTTTTAGATTTATTTGAAAGGCAGAGTTACAGAGAAGGAAACACAGGAGAAGGAGGGAGAGAGGGAGTGAGGGAGATAGGAAGGTAGGGAGAGAGAGTAGACAGAGAGAGAGAGAGAGAGAGAGGGAGAGAGATCTTCCTTCACAAATGGCCACAAAGGCCAGGGCTAGGTAGATCCAAAGCCAGGAGCCAGGAGCTTCCTCTGGGTCTCCCATGTAGGTGCAGGGGCCCAACCACTTGGGCCATCTTCCACTGCTTTCCCAGGCCACAGCAGAGAGCTGGATCAGAAATGGAGTAGCTGGGACTTGAACGGGTGCCCATGTGGAATGCCAGTGCCACAGGTGATGGCTTTACCTACTGTGCCACAGCGCCGACCCCTCAAGCAGCATCTTAACTGCTGTGGCCGATGTCTCCCCTCGACCCTTTTTGACCACTGACCATGAGCTCCAGGAGAGAGAGATACTACCTTATTCTTCTAAGACAAAATCTAGGACATAGTGGGGACTTAAGAAATTCTGCTGAGTGAAATGCATGGAGGGGACCTTCTCCTCCTTTCTTTGTTCCAGACTTACCGTTGTTTAATTCTCTATATATTGGGGCCAAGTGCCGGCATCCCATATGGGTACCGGTTCAAGTCCTGGATGCTCCACTTCCAATCCAGCTCTCTGCTATGGCCTGGGAAAGCAGTAGAAGATGGCCCAAGTCCTTGGGCCCCTGCACCCGCATTGGAGACACAGAAGAAGCTCCTGGCTCCTGGCTTCAGATTGGCCCAGCTCCAACTGCTGTGACTATTTGGGAAGTGAACCAGCAGATAGAAGATCTCTCCTTCTCTCTGTGTGTAACTCTTTTCAAATAAATAAATAAATCTTTTTTAAAAAATTATATAACACTTAATGTCAGAGAGGAGTCGGCATTTGGCACAGTAGTTAAGACACCACTTGGGACACTTGAATCCCGTATCAGAGTGCCAGTTCAGCTCCAAGTTCCAGTTTCCTGCTAATGCGAATCCTGGGAGGCAGCAGGTGATGGCCCATGTGCTTGGATCTCTGCCACTCATGTGGGAGACCTCTGTCTGATAAACAGAACACACGTCAGTTACAAAACGGGCATGGCAAGGAAAGCATGGGGAGAGAGAAGAGAGAGTGTGAGGAGCCGCCCAGCAGCGACTGCCACCCAATCAGCACCCACCCCAACACTCCGTGCCCAGAACAGTCCTCAGCCGCTGCAGAGGCCAGCCTTCAACTCAACGGGCACCTGCGGGCGCGCGGGGCCTGCAGGTCTAGGGGCGGCCTGCCTGGGCGGCCCGGCTCCCCGTGTCTGCCACTGTCTTCCTGGGCCGGGGCTGGGGGCTGGCGGTGGCAGAGGAGTAGAAGATGAGCATAGTCACCAGAGGCCCCTGGAGGGCCAAGCTCTGGCGCACACATCTTCCTAAGAGGCGAGGCCTGTTAGACGCTGAGACCTGGAGGTGACAAACAGGGGCCAACCACACCGCCTGCGCAGGAAGGCAGACGGGACCCGGGTGTACGCCCGAGGGGGCCCTGAGCCCGGCGACTCAGAGCGGCTCTGAAGCCTGGCCTCACCCGCCACAGCACACGCATGTGCGCACGCATCCGTGCCAGGAAGCACCTGGGGGCCTGCGCAAAGCCGCTGCTTTCTTCCCCTGCTGGGGGAAGGCTGCCCTGGGCCCAGCAGCAGCGGACAGCCCAAGCCCGACCGTCCTACCCTGCTGGAGGTGGGGGTGGCGAGGGCTCCTGGGACAGTTTCTGGCTGTCTCGGAACAGCCAGCAAGATGGGGCAGTGCTGCCCTTGGCCTCCACGTCCTGCAGAGCAGAGAGGAGACTCAGACTCGGTGGTGTGGAGCGCGGACTGCCTCTGCAGTTCCTGACGGGAAAGCAAGGCCTCTGCCTTCAGACCCAGAACAGCTCCTCAAGCCACTTCCCAAGAACAGAAGTGGAATCGGGGCGGTGGAGCAGGACAGAGCGCGCAGGTGTGGAGGCCTGCAGCCTGCAGCCTGCAGCCCGGGCCTGAGCTCACCAGAGAGGCCCCTTTACCTGCGCTCCGGTGGCGATGCCGTCGTCTGTGGGACGGGTGGAGGGAAGGCTCGCACAGGTGGCAGGGAAGGGCTCCAGCGGAGGATGCCTGGGAAGGGTCAGCGTCACCTTTGCTGCCATGGGGAGAACCACAGGCTGACAGTGTGGGAAGGAGCCCGAGCACAATCAAGGGTGTGTTTGCTGGGTGATCGCAGCAGACTCCATCTCTCCCGTCTGCTCGCTGCAGGGCCCGGCGGCCGGAACCAACCTCCCCAGGGCATCGGGGCAGCATTTCCCAGAGTGTTCTCGGAAACGTGGCTTTCCCGGGGTATGAATGAGTTGTAGGAGGGGAGAAAGGACTTCTGGGGTCAAAAGACTTTGGGAGCACTGGCTTAAACAGCGCCAGAGCAGGCCGCCTTCTGCAGGGCTTCTCAGAGCACCGTGCCACGAGGGCCCGCAGCATTTCCTACGCTCCTCACCCTCGGCTGCCCTTCCCGGCTGGGCCAGGCTGCTTCAGTGAAAGCACTCCGGGCCGCCACTGCTGCCTGTGGAAACTCTCCTTCCCAACTCAGAAACTGCACCGCTGCTGGCGGATTGGTACATGTTGAATTATTTTCCCTTATTTGAAAAGCAGAGAAGCAGAGACAACAGTCTCCTACTTGCTGGTTCACTCCCCAGATACCCACAGCAGCTGGGGCTGGGCCAAGCGAAGCCAGGAGTCAGGAGCTCCACCCTGGGCTCCTACCTGGGTGACACGGGCTCAAGCACTTGCGCCGTCTCTGCTGCCCCTCGGGGGGTGCTTCAGCAGGAGGCTGGAACGGGGAGCTGGTCTGGGACGTGAGCGTCCTGTCACTGCTGCGCCACACACCACACGGTGTGCCTCAGTGTCCGGATTCATCCCGCTACCTCCACTACTCCAAATCCGGGCGTCAGTGGCCTTCCAGGCTAAGAGGAGCAGGTCACGTCAGGACTCAGGGTTGCCTCCCCGTTCCCATCGCGAGGCAGCCCCTGGGCACACAGGCAGAGCTGGCTGCTTTCTCACCTCTCCACTGCTGAGTTCTGTTTCGGTTTAGGAACCTGAGCAATGGCTACCACGCGAGGAGCCCATCGTCCCAGCCCTTCCCCACCCGCCAGGAGGCTGCAGCTGCAGACAGGTGTGTGGGAAGACGCGAGATGGGGTTTGCCTTTCGTTCATCACACTTGAAGGGAGCAATCACTGGCCATGCAGAGGAGAGGGGAGGTGCACTGTGGGCTGGGGGTGGGGGGCGTGTGGCTCAGGCCTTGTTTGAGGACGGGAGGCAGCCCGCGGTGGGGGGTGCGGGGTCAGTGGCCCTGGCCGCCACTGAGTGATCTCTCCAGGCTGTTTCCTCTTCTGACTTCAACTTCCTTCTTAGTAAAAATGAAGTGGTTGTTCTAAATCTGTGTGTTGGGATTTTTCTTGTGGTAAAAATACAAGTAAAATTCACCATTACCGAGGTGGGTGTTCGGCCTAAGTGGTTAAGTTGCCAGTTAGGACCCCTGTGTGCCACACGGCAGCACCTGGTGGTTTCAGCTCTGTGATGGCTCCTGCTAAGGCAGGCTGTAGGAGGCAGCGGTGAGGGCTCAAGTAGTTGGGTCCCTGCCACCCGTGTGGGAGACCTGGACTGAGTTTCTGGCTCCCAGCTTCAGTCCGCCAGCCCCCTACCCTAGCCATTCTAGGCATTTGGGGAGTGAACCAGTGCATGCGGGTCCTCTCCCTCTCTCTCTTCCTCTCAAATAGACAAATAATTTTAAAAGCAGTTGCCCAAACCCCACATCAGAGTACGTGGGTTCAACACCCAGCTCTCCCTCCGACTCCAGCTTCCTGCTATAGAAGGAAAGCAGCAGCAACGGCTCAAGTCTTTGGGCTCCCGCCACCCACATGGGATTCCCGGGTTGCATCCCCAGCTGCCAGGTTCGGCCTCGGCTCAGCCCCAGCTGGCTGTTGGGAGCATTTGAGTAAATCGGCAGGTGCGAGCACTCTCCATGTCCATCTGCCTTCAAATACAACTTAGTTGTTTGTTTTTTTAAGTTTAAATTGTAAAATTTGCCATAACTGAAATTTAATATATTCTCAATGAGTACACCATCTCCTCCAGTTCCAGGGCATGTCATCATTCCAAAAAGAAGCCCCATATCCATTATGCAGCCACTCCCCCACTACTCCGCCCCGGCCCCGGCAACCCCTCGGGCCATCTGTCTCTTTGGGTTTGCCTGTTCTGGACACTTCATACAAACGGATTGATAGAAATGCGACCTCTCGGCCGGCGCCGCGGCTCACTAGGCTAATCCTCCGCCTAGCGGCGCCGGCACACCGGGTTCTAGTCCCGGTCGGGGCGCCGGATTCTGTCCCGGTTGCCCCTCTTCCAGGCCAGCCCTCTGCTGTGGCCAGGGAGTGCAGTGGAGGATGGCCCAGGTGCTTGGGCCCTGCACCCCATGGGAGACCAGGAAAAGCACCTGGCTCCTGGCTCCTGCCATCGGATCAGCGCGGTGCGCCGGCCGCAGCGCGCCGGCCGCGGCGGCCATTGGAGGGTGAACCAACGGCAAAGGAAGACCTTTCTCTCTGTCTCTCTCTCTCACTGTCCACTCTGCCTGTCAAAAAAAAAAAAAAGAAATGCGACCTCTCTGTCTAATGTCTTTCACTCACTACCGTGTTTTCCAGGCTGGTCCATGCTGAAGCGTGGCTGAATACTCTCTGCTGTTGGAATGTAGCACATTTTGTGTACTAAGTCATCAGTTGACGGGTGTAGGAGGTATTTCCATCTCTTGGCTACTGTGAGGGGTGCTGCTGCTGCTGCGAACACTGTAAGTTGTTGCCTACAAGTTCTTGTTTGAACTTCTGCCATCTGTTCTCTCGAGTACCTGCTGGTCGGATGGTAACACTCTATGTTCCACCCAGGAGGAGCGGCCACACTGTAAGCCAGTGGTTGCCCTGTGTTACATCCCCACCAGCGATGTAAGGGATTCCAATCTCTCTCCTCCTTGCCAGTATGAGTTTAAAAAACCATATGGGGGAGCATTTAGTAATCAAGTCTTTTCTTCTAATGCTTTCTTGGAAACCTACTATAGTAAAACAAACTGCTGGGGATGATGGTTCAAGAGCGTGGGCTCCTGCCACCCATCTGGGAGATCAGGATGCAGTTCCACCTCCTGGTTTCGGCCTGGCCCATCCACTTGGTGAACCAGTGGATGGAGGGTCTCTCTGTTTCTCTTCTGTTGCTCTGCTTTTCCAGTAGATGAAAATAAATTAGCACTAAAAAGACGAAACTGGTGGGGTGGAGGTGACAGAACTTTACAGCAGCCCTGTAGGGAGCTCAACTTAAAACCCACTTGCTGTAGATGGAAGATCTCTTTCACTCTCCTCTCTGTCACTCTGCCTTTCAAACAAATAAACAAACCTTTAAAAAAATCTACTTGCTCTCGATGGGCTGTAAGACCCTTCCCTGGCTCTGGAGACTCTGCCCAGTCCCAGGCCCATCTGGTCCCGGAGGTACGGCTTGGAGATTCCTGCCGGTCCTCTCTTCACACTTCTGGGGAGGCTGAGGTTGCAGGGGCCCATCCACAGAGAGACCGCCTGGCTGCTGCTCAAGTGAAGACGCTGCGCCCCCCCCCCCAGACTTGTGGAATCTTCTCGGGAGGGGCTCCGGAAATCGCAGGCTCTGCATCCTCCCCGGATTCTTTCAATGCTCTGAAATTAGAGCTGCTGGGCCAGAGAGGACTGAGAAGTGCGGTTGGAGGAGGTCCTGAGCCCGCTGAGCTTCCTCACCTGCCCTGTGGGAGGCAGGAGTTGGATTTAGTTTGGGCTCCACAAAGATGGTGGAAAGAGACTGCAGTCTCAGGGAAGTTGGGGAGAAAACGGCAGAGGAAACTGTATGCAAATTAGAGGGGCACTGTGGACCTACATGGAAGGTGTGGACGCGAACAGCTCAGGACCCAGCAGCTGAGACTCTGCACCAGCTTCGCAGAGAGGTGAGACCAGACTGCAGCAGCCCACGCCACTGGCGATAGAGCTGCGGGGAGAGCCTCTGGTGAGTCTGGGTGCGGTCCGTGGGAGGCAGTGTCCATGCCAACCCAGAGAAGAAAAGCGGGGGCATGTTTCTCTCTCCCCAGCCGCCCAGCACCAGCATCCTGTAACTAGCCGAGAGGGCAGCACCATTTTGGACAAACATAACAGCTGTGCCAGTGTCCTTGCATCCAGCAACCAGCACAGAGGAGAAGCCGATTCTGGCTGGGAGCATTGACAGGGGGCTGGGTGCTCGTGACCGTGGGAGGCTTGTGTGCTGGGACTGTGAAAACACTGTGGCTGTGTGGGAGGGCGCAGGGTGTGGCTGGGACTTTGAGCAGTCACTGTGGGTGTCTCCCCAGGCTCAGGGCTCCCTGATTCCCTGGTGAGGGTCACCGCTGCAGGATTCGTGTTCACAGTGAGGACTGCACGGATCCTTTGTGTGGTTCTTGTGGCAGCGCAGATGAATATTGTACCCACCGGGGCTAGCGCCTGGGCACTGGTCTTCTTGGAGGAGAGGAGGTGAGCATGAGACGACACCAACAGACCTGAACCTCTCCTGGGTGTTCACTGAAAGAGCAGACACTCTGCTAAGCCACACGGGCATAGTCCAAACATACAAGCCATCACAGGGAAAAGATAAATAAATAAACCAACAAGTGTCTCCACAAATGCCTAATTAAACACAGCAATCCAAGAAACAAGAAGGAAGACAACATGACGCCCCCAGAAGAACACGACACCTCAGTACTAGAACGTGAAGATGAAGAGACTGAAGAAACAGAATTCAAAAAAAGTTGATTGTAGGATTACTTAGAAGTAATCAGAAGCAAATCCATGAACTACAGAAATCCATACATGACACAAATGAAAACTTTTCCCATGAAATTGAGACTTTAAAGAGAAACCAAGGCTGGCGCCACGGCTCAATAGACTAATCCTCCGCCTGTGAGCCGGCACACCGGGTTCTAGTCCCGGTCGGGGCGCCGGATTCTGTCCCGGTTGCCCCTCTTCCAGGCCAGCTCTCTGCTGTGGCCCGGGAGTGCAGTGGAGGATGGCCCAAAGTGCTTGGGCCCTGCACCCCATGGGAGACCTGCCATCGGATCAGCGCGGTGCGCTGGCCACAGCGCACCAGCCGCCGCGGCCATTGAGGGGTGAACCAATGACAAAAGGAAGACCTTTCTCTCTGTCTCTCTCTCACTGTCCACTCTGCCTGTCAAAAAATAAATAAATAAATAAATAAAAGGGAGAGAGAAACCAAAATGAAATATAGTTTGGGGTCCAGGTGCCACAGAGGATTCCCTCGAGGTCATCTTGTCACCACTCTGTGTCCCAGGACTGTGGTCACCATTCCCCAAGGACAAGAACCTACTTATGCCCCTCAGGAGCTGTGCAGTGTTTAGCTTATGTCCGAGTGCAGCTCTTGCTTTTATTTATTGGAGACACAGAGACAAAGTTCTCATCCACTAGTTCACTCCCCAAACACCCACAAGAGGGAGGGGGCTGGACCAAAGCCAGAAGCAGGGGTCATAGTCCAGGTCTCCCACGAGGGTGGCACTTACTTGAGCCATCACCACTGCCCCCAGGGTCTGCATCGGCAGGAAGCTAAATGCCTGTTGTTTGCTTTAAAGTGATTTTATTATAGTTACTTTTTTGAAATTGGAAAATTTTGAAAGTAGCAAATCAGCTGGAAAGCACTGTTTACGTGAGTTTGAACAGCACTGGGCAAGGCCTCCTCTGGGCTGAGAATCAACATGATTTACTCTGGGACTCTTGCCCAGATTCCTGTTAGCTCATTCACACAGAGTTTGTCCTCCCAGTCTTGTGACTCAGTGAATTTTTCCCCAGCTGGGGAAGGGCACAAGAAAACTCACATGCGACCCACCCTCATGCGCGGAGCCCAGCAAGGATCTTGGGGGCGGGGGGGGGGGGTCCCTGACTCAGCCACTGCCCCAGGAAGAACTGGTCCGAGGTTAAGCAGCTCCCTCCCGTTTTGGTTGCCCACTGCTGTGGCACAAATCTGCCAAAACTCAGTGACTAAAAATAGCCACGGTCTCACCAGTGCTCACCACTCAGGACCGGCTTCACTCTACTGAGCTCCGTCAGATGTCAGCTGTGGCTGTAGTCATCAAGGGGCTGAGTGGGGCTGAAGATTCCAACCTGACGCATTCCCGGGGCTGGTAACTGATCCCGGTGCTCAGCTGTCAGCTCCACAGGGCTGTGGGCTGAAGTGTCTGCACCTGGCCTCTTTGCCTGGGCTTTCCCCATCTCGGCAGCTGGGCTTGGGGAGGCGTGTCCTGAGAGCAAGTGTTCCCATAGGGAGCAAGTGGCTCCCAGCACGGATGTGGGACTCAGTGTAGCTCTAAGTCTTTGGACAGCAACCTCCTGTCATCTCAGTTTCCCTGCCCACCAAATGAAGACAATGCCTTCCTCGTCAGCTGGATAGGAGATTTAAGTGAGACACATATGGCCCTTCACACAGTGCTCCAGAAACAAGAATGGCTGGGGCTAGTGCTGTGGCATAGTGGGCTAAGCCTATGGCTGGGGCACCAGCAGCCCATGTAGGCATTGAATTAAGTCCTTGCTGCTCCACTTCTGATCCAGCTCTCTGCTAGAGGCCTGGAAAGCAGTGGAAGATGGCCCAAGTGCTTGGGTCACTGCACCCATCTGGGAGAGCCAGAGGAAGCTCCTGGCTTCCAATTGGCCCAGCTCTGGCTGTTGTGGCTATCTGAGGAGTGAACCAGTATATGGAAGACCTTTCTCTCTGTCTTTCCCTCTCTCTGTCTGTAACTCTGCCTCTCAAATAAATAAATAAATCTTAAAAAAAAAAAAAAAAAAAAACACAGGAATGGCTATGATCTGACCCCTCGTCCTGGGATCTCCATTGAGAGGACTTGTTTGACCCTCTCCACTCCTCACAGCTCACACTATACAGTGTGGGCAGAATCACTCTGTTTTAGAAAAACGAAATGATTATTTTTGCATAGAAAAAATTCTGGGGTGCTGTGTACTGAAATTATATGGTGATTATCTCTTTGGCAGCAGAGTGCGATGTTCCAGGACTTTTGATGCCAGGCCTCAGGGAAACCAGCACCTTCTGTTTTCTCCCTCTTGCAGCACCAGCTCGCGGAATCCATCCCTTTCCACATAGAAAGGCCACATGGATGAGAACCAGGCCTCTCCTGCTGACAGCCTCAGCAGAACGTCCAACCCATGGCTGCACCAGCACCAGCCTGGCGGGGAGCTCTGGGCCAGGGTGCCAGCCCCACTGAGCACAGACGAGTGCAGCTCTAGCCAGCATCAGGAGGAACAGAAGAGTCACCTTGCTGAGCCTGCCCACCCACAGGTAGGAGAGATGCTAATGTGGCGGTTGTTTGAAGCTAAGTTCTGTGGCAATGTGGAGCCCCCACAGCAGCCCAGGCATCCTCATCTCCTCACACACCCCAGCATCCTCCTCCCACACTTTGTACCAGCTAGCACGAGACCAGCAGAAAACAGCTGCGTGCTGGGTGCATGGTTGTGGGGAGCAACTGGGAGAAACTTGGACTAGACTAAGTTACTGGAATTAAGACTTATTCTATGCATCTGCTCTCCCACAATATGGCGCTGGGAGAGGAGGAAACAGCTTCTACACAGCTGCCTCCAGTTCAACCAATAAACAGCAGGACCTGCTCCTGATTGGAGGAGAGCAGAGTTGGGATTGGCGGAAGAGGACTATAAAGGAGGAGAGAGACCACATGCACCAGGAACATCTATCTGAAGGAACACCTGTGCAGCCCCCGAGAGAGCCGGCCAGCGGTGTGCCGCTCCCCCGCGGAAGTGGGGAATGTGGCAGGGGGAACCGCCCTTCCACGGAGGTGGAAGGGATGGTAGCCAACCCGGGAAGAACCAGCAGCAAACCCGGGGAGGGCAGAGCAGACAAAAGAACAGCGCAGGGTCCTGTGTCGTTCCTCCACGAAGACGGGGAGCTACACATGGTGTGTTACTTCCAAGGTTGGTCTGTACAAGACCTGAGGTTTCTGCCTTGGTCACTCTCTGAGATCAGGCTTCACCCTGGGAGGAGCCCTGTGGAGAGGCACACGCAGGCTGACCAACTTGCCCCGGAGCTGCCCGGCACTTTCCTGGTTTTAGCACCGAAATCTCACGTCTGAAGACCCTCCTCAGTCCTGGACGTCACTCTGGCCCATGGGCTGAAGACGGAGGCATCTGGACAGCAGCAAGCAATGAACTGAGGCCTCCTCCCAACAGTAAGGTGAGCAGGCCACCGTGGAAGCAAACCCCCCACACGTGTGTGCCCCGCAGCGCCCGCGGAAGCCCAACTGCCGCTGGAGAGGGCCTGAGCCAGAACCGCTCACCTAGGCTGGCCCTGGAGTCCTGACCACAGAAACCACACAGAAAACTGCCATGCGTCACACTGGGCGGGGGTGATTTGTTAGATAACATCAGATACCCTGGGTGGGTTTGTTAGACCCCGACAGGCAACACAAACAACAGAGCAGTCGCCCACCCGTCTCCCACAGCTGTGCTGATCTGTTTGGGGCTTGCTTTTCCTTTCCTGGAAATCACCCTGAGGGAGTTTTGCTGCTGGGGTCCCTGGGGAGCACTGTTGGGCCACCCTGGCCGCTGGGGTGAGTCAGTCCCACTCTAATTGTTTTCCAAGCTGCAACCACAGATCCCTTGGGCCCCTGAGTCCTGGCAGCTCTCAGGTTCCAGCTGCTCTCTGAGGCCTCCCTGATTTCCCTGGAGGCCCCAGGTGCTCACCTGGGTGCAGAAGCCGCCTTGTCTTCGGAAGGCTCCCTGCTGTCTGGCACAGACAGTGCACAGGCTGCAGGCGCCACTCCTGCCGGAGTCCGGGAGGGTCTCTCCTGGACTTGAGATCTTTCACCGCGAGGCCCAGGGTGTCTGAGATTTCACCACTGAGTACGAGTCACTCACCTGGGGGGCCCCTTTTTCTGAAAACCTTCTTCCCTGCACTGGGGAGCTTGAGAGCTGGGAATGCAATCCATGGGGGACCGCAGGAGGTAGGCTGGGCCCTGACAAGCTGAGCATGGCCCCACCTCATGCTGCCTTGCTCACCTGACACCATCTATGGAGAGTCAGGCTGCGTGCAGGGCATTCCCCCACGCCCAGGCCACTGTGCACACCCTGAGACACCTGCCAAGTGGATTAGGATAGTTAGCATGTACTGAGGGCTGCCATGACAAGTACCACAAACGGGTGGCTGATAATAACCAAAGTATTCTCCTACACTGTGGAGGTCTGAAGTCAGCAGGATTAGTTCCTTCTGAGGGTTTCGGGGTAGAATCCAGGCCTCTCTCCTGGCTGCTACAGTGTTGCAGACCATCTCTGCGGGCCTGGGCCTGCTGATACATCACCCCAGATCCATTCCCGCGTCATCACAGGTGTTCTTGCGCACATGGCTGTTTCTGTATCCAATTTCCCACCCTGATGTCCTCATCTTAACCTGACCATCCTTGAAGATCCCATTTCCAAGTAAGGTCATGTTCACAAGTACTGGGGTTGGGACTTTAGCATCTTTGGGGGAGACACAATTCAACCCTAATAGAGCATTTAATAAACATAGTTAATACCCCTGAAATACTGGGCTCTGCCATGATGGTCATTTGCAGACACGTGCTTCAAACAGTTCATGGAAAATGCATATTGTGAGAAAACTGTGCATGGATTTCAAAACTTTTTTGCACCAAAATAAACTTGACTTTGAATTCCACTTTTTCCAGAAAAAAATTTTTTTGACAGGTAGAGTGGACAGTGAGAGAGAGAGACAGAGAGAAAGGTCTTCCTTTTGCCGTTGGTTCACCCTCCAATGGCCGTCACGGCTGGCGCGCTGTGGCTGGCGCACCGCGCTGATCCGATGGCAGGAGCCAGGTGCTTCTCCTGGTCTCCCATGGGGTGCAGGGCCCAAGGACTTGGGCCATCCTCCACTGCACTCCCAGGCCACAGCAGAGAGCTGGCCTGGAAGAGGAGCAACCAGGACAGAATCCGGTGGCCCAACGGGACTAGAACCCGGTGTGCCGGTGCCACAAGGCGGAGGATTAGCCTAGTGAGCCGCGGCGCCGGCCCAGAAATGTTTTGAAGCACCCCCCCAAATGTTATTCCTGACCCTCACAGAAATGTCCCCATTTTATAGCTGTAGAAACTGAGGACCAGTAGCATTACAGGGCTTATCCTAAACACATAGGCAGAAGGTACAGGCTCTGGATTCATCTGTCCTGGTTTCACCACTTACAGGTGACGCTTTGGAGAAGTTGTGTAACTCTGTGCCTCGGTTTCCTGATGAGTCAGGTGAGGACAGTAGCAATCAAATCTGCATCCATGCTGAATCGCTGCAAGGGTTGGAAGAGATCATAAGCAGAGCCTGACCTACAGTCTTACCTGCACTCTTGGCGACTGTTGGAAGTGGTAGGGTCAGGAGTCAAGTCTGTATCTCCTTGGCTTCTATGTCTTCATTCTCCCTCTCTGTTCAAGCACAGGCAGGTGTCAGGGCTTCTACAGCTACCATCTCCTTGAACCTTCACAAATCCCCTGCAAGGCAAATATTTCTGGCTACATTTTCTGGATGTGGGAACTGAGACACAGAGAGATACTTGACCAAGATCACCCTGCAAATAAAGCATTCTTATCTCACTCCACTGATGGCAGTGTCTTCCTCAGTGTCACCTATCTTCACAATGCATGGAGATTCACAGACACAACTTAGGCTAATGCTGTCTTCTAACATGGTCGGCTAATAAACACAACATTAGAGGTAGTCAGTCAATTTTTTTAAGATTTGTTTTATTTATTTGAAAGGCAGAGATGGGGCCAGTGTTGTGGCATGATGGGTAAAGCCACTACCTGCAACACTGGCATCCATATGGGTGATGACTTTCAAATAAACAAATGAATTTAAAAAAAAAAAAAAAGGCAGAGTTAAGGAGAGAGAAAGATCTACAATCCACCGGTTCATTCCTCAAAGGGCTACATTAGTCAGGGTTGGGCCACGCTGAAGCTAGGAGCCAGGGACACCATCTGGGTCTCCCACATGGACGGCAGGGCCCCATGCATTTGGGTCATTTTCTTCTGCTTTCCCAGGTGCATTGGCAGGGAGCTGACTCAGAATTGGACTGCACTCAAACCAGGCACCCATATGGGATGTCAGTGTCCTAAGTGGCAGCTTCATCTGTTGTGCCTCAACTCCACCCCTTTAGCCGAGTTTCTGAGTTGAGTCAGTGGCCCACACAGAGACAATGACGGGCCTGAAGATATGCTGTTAATTCTCGAGAAAGTCCAAAGGAAGAACTTTCTCACACACACACACACACATACACAGAACACCTACAAGAGACTGCCCCCTTGGAACAAGCATCTAACCATTGAAAAGGCCTGGGTTGTATAGGCTGAGCCACTCTTGTCCAAGATGTTCAGAACCAAGTGTTTCAGAATTGGAATTGTGTGTGTGTGTGTTTGGAAACAGACCTGTATCATTAGGGATTCACATGATGCTTCTCGGGGATGGGACCAGAATGTAAACCTGACATGCGTTCACGCTTCGCGTATACCTAATGCACATAGCCTAAACGAACGTTACGTGCTATTTTTAGTGCACCTGAATTTTGATTGTGACCCTTTATGTGAAGTCAAGTGAGGAACTTTCCACTGTGGCATCTTGTCAGGGCTTAAAAAGTTTCAGTCTTTGGAGCATTTAGAGGTGGGTTTTTGGATTAGGGATGATCAACCTGTATAAGATTTTTCAATTAGAGGGGTGGCCATGTGGCACCATGACTTGAGCCACTGCCCATATCCCATATCAGAGTGCTTGCTCAAGTCCCAGCTGCTCTGCTCGCAATCCATTTTCCTGCTCAGCACATCTCAGAAGGCAGCAGATGACGGCTCAGGGATGAGCTCCTGCCACCCACATGGCACAGATGGAGTTCTGGGCTCCTGGCTTTGGCCTGGCCCTGCCCCAGCTGTTGCACGCATTTGAGGAGTGAATCAGCAGATGGAAGACCTCTTTCTGTCTCTCTCTTTCTCTCTGTGTGTCTCTGTTTCTCTGCCTTTCAAATAAAATGAAAATACATAAATAAAAATCATTTATTTTATTTATATTTTTCAGTTAGGCAATCTGAAGCACAACAACCAGCTGCTAGGCCCAACCCAGAATTCCCCAGGAAACCAACACACAAAATAAAAACAAACAGTTGCACTCAGCTCAGAAGCTTCCCAGGCTTCTTTGTAAAAACAGAGAAGGGGCTGAAGCAGCTAAGGCCTCGGCCGGGCTCTGCTCTGCTCTGCTCTTCCTCTGCCGCCCGTTGTAGCTACTCATTGCACCACCCCTCAATCCCGCAATAGCTAAGGAAGCGGGTTGCCAAAGGGCCTGTCCGCATCTTAGAGCTGTTAACATTTCTAAAGCGACAGGTTTTACATAACAATCTGACGGGGGTGGGGAGGCTCAGTCCACAAAATCAAAGGGTCTGGCCAGGTGGCTGTGTTTTCCTGACTGTAAGAATGA